GGGCTGAATTTACTTGCTATGTAACTTTGGGAACCCTGGAGAAATAAAGGACTATGTCTTGGACATGCTGTTGGATCGTACCTCTTCGTGGTTTCTCTTCAGAGAAATCAGCTCATCCTTCAGGGACTCCAGCTCGGATTCCAGTGAAGACCGAGTGGAAGTGAGGTCATCCAGGAGATTTCTCAAGCCATTGATGTCAGCCTCCACAGTCTGACGGATGACCAGCTCGTTCTCATACCTTTATCACAGAAGAAATAAGCATTACACATTCATTTCATTATAGTGTGTGGGCTTGGTAGTAGCAGTTGGGATAGGATATCATAACCTGCATTCAAGACTCTCATAAAATTCGTGACATGGAAGACATGAGGTTCACAGAGAGGTACTCACTTCATCCGGAAGTCATCCCCAGTCATCTTGCCATTATCGATGTCCAGAAGCATTCTGTTGTTGTCCACAGTGGCTGAAATGATCTGCAGAAGGGAAGATGGGGAGGAGTTTCTGTGTTCAGGACATCCAGGACAAGAAGAAGAAGACCCAAAGCTTTGGCAGGGCTTTGTCTGGGGTCTTGGGATAGTTTCCTGCAGTCATGCTACAGAAACTCATTGAAGTGCATTGCCACAAGAGCTGCTGTGTGCTAGGGTTTGGCTTCCCCAAATATTCTGATTAAAGAATATATTGATGGGGGGAAAAGTAGAAGAATATTTTTATTTTGGTGATCACCAACACCCATGGGTTTCTGCACTCTGGGGGTACAAGGAAGTACTTTGTCCCTACTGCTGTAATTAATCTCATTATAAAAAAAGCTGATTGTAAGGGAAGGCCTTGGTCCTTCCATCTGATATCTGCAGGAGTGAGAGGCAAAGGGAGCTCAGACCTGGCAGTCCAGGTGTGGTGGCTTTGCACTGCCTGCAGCTGACGTGGGGGAGCATAGGGAAGGACTGGAGACCACGCACGCCTGGTTTGGAGCCACCGCACAGAGTGGGGTTTCAGTTCTGTGCCCAGGGCACCTGGGGCTGCTGGAGCGCTCCTCACTGCTGGGGCTGTGCGGGGCCCTTTCGCCTGCAGGCTGCTGCTGGGGTTTGCCCACCCCAGAGCTGGGAGGTGCAGCTCTGCAGGTTTCTGGTGCGGTCCCACCAGCAAGGCCGCCCCGTAGCTCTCTCCCAACCCAGTGAAGCCGGTGCAGAGGGAAGGAGGAGATCCTCACAGGTGAGGAGAGCGTGTGGGAGATGGAGCCACATTACTCAAGGCTGTCCTACCTGGTTTTGGAGCTGCTCAA